TATAACCCATGCTTTAGATATTTACAGAGGTTCATGACTTTTACCATTTTCGGTCGAGGCGAGAGTGATGGAATCATGTGTCAGAGAGAACTTTACTTTTTATGTGCCATGGTTGAGGGACATAAGGTTGACACAGGCGCTTTTATGATTCATCATATGTGTCGTGCAGCGAGAGCAACGAGCGAAAAAATTGTTTTTGGTAGCTTGATTACCACTTTAGCTTCTGGGATGGGTTTAGGAGAGCTTGTTAAAGGACTCCATCCTTTAAATCCTAGCACCTCATTTGACCTCGATGCTTGTGTTCATATGAAATTGATTAGTAATAAGGGCAATAGGTTATGGTTATGTTTTCAAGACAATTATCTCTTCCCACTACCTGATCCTGTTCGCACAATAATCCATGATCGCACCAATTGGTGCTACCTCACATCTGATTTTATGAATTATGATGGTCACGAGGTTATACCAGCTGAGGATGCTGACACGGTACCCCCGATCCCTATTCAGGCTGAGCCTACAAGGGGAACTAACTCTTTCCATCATCCTGATTGGTCAGCAGAATTATCAGCTATCCATATTTCTCTTGTCTCTCTTACTAACCGTGTAGGTGCCATCGAGGAAGAGCAACAACGTCAAGGACAACTACTGGACTCGATACACTACATGATGCAGTCTTTTCACGAGCGACAGCTCCGACAGGATGCCTCTGCGCCGCCTCCTTCTGACTAGTGAGTTGGTATGTTTCCTGCACCCTTGTACTAATTTCTTTTTTTTTACATTGAGGACAATGTCGATCTTAAGCTTGGGGGTGTGGGTTGTTCATGCATTGATTGCCTGTCTATAATTGCCTATTTTTCTTTTATTTTAGTTTTTCTTTTGCTTTGTTTCTTAATTCAAAAAAAACAAAAAAACAAAAAAACAAAAAAACAAAAAAAAACAAAACGAAAACAAAAACAATTAGGGAAATGATCTCCTGATGATGACATGAATGCTTAACCTTTATCGATCATTGAACTAGATAGATGCTCATTAATTGGGACTTAACAACTTCTTATACCATCTTTCAGCTGATTCTCAAAGGCTTTTGATTACAAGTTAACAATATGGGAGAACCAGACTTGAATGTTCTCTTTTCTTATAGGTTTTAGCATTTATGTGGCTAGCGTCATAACCATTACTCTATTGAGACAAGAGGGGAATTAAATTTGGTAGACAAATAAAACCCGTGAGATTTTGAGCCTGAAAATTGGATGCATTGCATATCCAATCATTATTTTCTTTGCTTGTGTGATATTCTCCAATGGTGTAGGATACTAGAACTTGCATTGAATCTCTTCAAGGCCACATATAACTTTTGTATGCATAAAAGGTGATTAAGGCGCTCAGACGAGAGCTTGACGAGAGTAACAGGAAGGCTAGGAGGCTGGATGACGCTCTCTAGGAAAGGGACCGCACCACAGTACCGATTTTATTCCGATTTTATTAAACCCACATATGTAACCTTCAAAATCTGATTTTATTCCTTACCCATTGCCTAAGCTAGTGGAGCACATTTTATGATACAATGAGTTATGTGAGTAATGTGGTGTAAGCTTGGGGGTGTGAAAGTAGGCGTTTGCTTCCCTTTTCATAATTCTTTCGAAAAAAAAAAAGAAAAAAAAAAGATGAATAAAGTTGTCATCTTTATGGTGTATGTAATTGCGGGTGTCAAAAGAATTTATTATGGCATACTAAAAGGAGTAGTTGGAAGAAGTTCTTTAATAGATGATGGAGTTTGTGTAGATGTCATTGATCTTACTTTGAGATATAATCTTTTGCAATCATAGCTCCACTAGTGATAGGCTTTCAACCAATTCCAAATATATATCCTACCTTTTGACCCTAGCCCCGTTACAACCAATAAAAGACCTCATGATTTTGTTGCATGCATTAGTTTTCGAAGTGGTGGAGAATTGAGATGAAATGCAAGCTTATGGATTGAATACATCCATTCGGAAGAATTTTGAGCGATACAATCCCATCCTTAAATACATGAGAGATTGAGAGTCCACTTATCCTAAAGTGAGGTCTACCAATTTAACTACCTGAAGGTCTCAATTTTAGTACTTTGGGATTGAAGCTAGTTACATGAATTTCTTTTTCCTACTTTGACTTGAGAATTGGATAGGATGGCTATCCTTGACTTGTGACGCTTGTGATCGTAAATAAATTTTGAAATGTGATTTTGTTGAGAGTTTTGGAAATTAATTTGTTAAGTCCCGATGAAAAGTATTTGTTTTGTGATATGTTTGATATTGGTTAAAGGATTGATGAGGGGGTGATCCCTACTCTATTTGGCTTCCACTCCTCCTATTTTCTTTATTGTCTATTTGCTTGAGGACAAGCAAAAGTCTAAGCTTGGGGGAGTTGATAAACACGTAAAATATGCATTATCTTAGTGTGTTTTAAGCATGATTTACGAGTGTTTAATGCATATTTCGTGTTTAGATCGAGGATACTGCTGTGGTTTGTGTTCTTATATGTAGGTATTGGCTCAAGATTGAAAGATTTGATGATCGTTGGAAGTTTTACAAGAGTTTGAAGCAACAACAAGATTTTGAAGGCATGGTTCGTGAAGAAAATGGATGCACGAGTATGAAGAACTGGAATTTCTACCATGATGCAGTTTGAATCAAGAAAAACTCAAAAGATGAAAGTTGTAGATCTCTTCAACAGGATTCCAATGCAACTTGAATCACCTCATTCCGAGGTCGGACGCAAAAGTTATAGCCAAAATACCGAAAACTGAAGAAACAAGCACAAAATCAGCAAAACAGCCCCTACCACACCCTGGTGTGGTGCAGACCACACCGGTGGCGCGGGAATTAGTTATTTTCCAGATTTTTGGAGACATATAAATAGATGTTTTGACTTAGGGTTTTGGATATCTTTTGTTATGTTCTTTTAGCCATCAACTAGCAACTATTCTAGGGTTCAAGTATTGAAGGAAGACATTAATCTCTTGTAGAAGATTGGATTGCAAGTTCTTATTTTGAAGATTTCAATTGAAAGACGGGTTAATTCTTTCCTCTCTTTGATTTATTTCTTCTTATGATTGATTTGCATAATTATTTGATGTCTTCTCTTATTCCAATCATGTGTGAGTAGATTTCTTGTCTAGGATTGGGAAAGAACCCAATTTTTTGGTGATTGATGATGAATTAATATATGTTCTTGGTGAAAGTTTAGATCTTTAAACTTAATTTCTAGTGTTTTAATTTTGTTGATTCGCTTGATCACCGTATTAGCAATCATAGGTAATTAATTGAAGGACTGAAAGGTGAAGATTAATACCAGATCTCTAGAAATTAAGCAGGGAGCTTGAACCACGAAAGTAGGCTAGATTCCTTGGGAATTTGATTTGGATTAGCATAAAGCTTAATGGGTTTAATTTAATCTTGATTCCACGAAAGTAGGTTAATTGAGATTGATTAGGCACGATCTTTAGACCTTGAAAGAGGCTTTAGATTAATTTAGGCTAATTCACCCTTTCTAGATTAAACCAACACCAAGAATTGAAATAATTCATCATTGAACACCTAAGTTGTGGTGATAACCCAATCCTAGTCCTTCATTATATTGAATTCCATCCGATTAGTTGTTTATTTTATTTCTTTTATTAAATCTCTTCTAATTTACTCATTAGTTTAGCTAGTCTAATAACGTGAAATTTGGTAATTAACCCTAGTCCCTGTGGGATCGACCTTGATAGCTATAACGAGTCTGTGCGCTTGCAAATTTTGCCTATCACGGAGGAAGCGAAAGACGGATCCGATTTTGTTGGATGAGATATCCCCCAATGATGAGTGGTTAGTCGAGGAGGAGCCTTGTCTTCCGACCGATCCGAGCTGGCTAGATGGTGATGACGGGGATAGGGAGCATCTCAATGTTGCAACAATTAATAATCTAGCTACTGTGGAAGAAGGCAATGATGATGCTCCAACGGCAAAGAAACAAAGAGTTGATGGTTCTGGTAAGATTCCTAGGAACTTCAATGTTATGCTTATTTGCATGAATACTCGAGTTTTTTAGTGAAATTATTTCTACAACATCCTCCACGCAAAAAGGAAAAGAGATCGCCACAGAAGATGAGGTGGATCCCGAAGATGTTTGAGATGAGGATGAATTGGTTATTTTTTGAGAAATGGATCTAAAGGATGGAGTTATTTTGTAGGACTTATAAATGTTTGAGAGTTGAAAGTGTTTGGTTTTGTTTAGACTCAGTTTTTTTTTTTTTTTGCTTTAAACTTGGCGATGTTGACGTATTTGATCATTTGATAATACATTTTGGAATGGTTGTTAGTCATATTGGACTAACTTTTGTTTAGATATCGTGATACTATATTTCTATTTTTGATAACTGTGATGTTATGTTCGAGAAGTTTGATGATCCTAAGTATTAAAGTTGTTAATGAATTATTAGAATTTATCAAATATCTAAATGATTAATAAACAATATAACCTACATTATGCGTCATGTTTTTTTGTGTTTTTTTCATTAGCCCTTAACAGGAGATCGGGTGTTACATAACCCATTTTCGTTATTTTCAACATTGGTTGTGTATAAACCCCCTATACTATTGCCCAGTTCTGAATAGACTCATTGTAATTCTATTGTGCAGACACCCCTCCAGTGAATTTGTTTTTTTTTTTTTACTCTTCTACCCTCAGGAGGCCGATTTGTGTGAAAACAATTTTCTTTCTCTCTGGCAGTAAAAGAATCAAGAAAAATACACTCCGGAGTCGTCTATCTGCAACAATAGAACTGTAGGGGTCTTCTGCAGTTGGGCAACAGTACAGGGGTCCTTTCACAATTAACCCAAAATGTAAAGACATGAAAATTTGAAGGTTACAATAGTATGAAAAGCAGACTCTCATGTAAATGCAACTTCTTAAGTTTTAACAAACTTTCAAATTCAAAGACAAACATGGAATCTTCAAATGCCTACTGCAATTCTTACCTCGTTGAAGGAATGTGACATGAGAAGGTCACGTAGATGTCTTTCTTCAGAGTCGAATAGTACAATGTGACTGGGTAGTGCTGAATTATTTAGCATGTCAGTTACAAAGTAAAATGGGTCTGTCAAGAAACGATTTGACTCATCCAATATGCCCTTGTTTTCACTGAAAAATGCAAAACTAGAGTAAATTCCACAGTGATATTTGAAAACGAACATCTATAACACTAAGAAAGATCATGTCTCCCTTTTGTTTTCAAATTTCAATAAATCTAACCCAATTTATTTATATTCAGTCATCAAATAATTCCACAAATTTAATTCTCTTTTTTCTCTAAGCACAGAATAAAAAGCCTTGACTCCAAGTACAGATTACAGCTTTCAATCTAAAAAAGAACCAAACCTTTTACTATGATAACTAAAAAGGTATATCTGAACAGATAGATAAGAAATTATACTTGCATAGGTTCTTATGTAATCATAAACGAATTATTTTACATAGTAAAATAAAAGAGGAAGAAAATAAAATAGGAAGCCCATCAAGCAAGAATTGCAATTTAATTAGGATGATTTTCAAAAAATGACAAGATGTATGACTGAAACTCGCAACTTTCATATCATCATATGGATATATGATGCAGCCTTTGAGGCATATAACATATGCTCGAAAACTTTGTATAAACAAAAAGTATAGTATAAGGTTGACAGGAATGCAAAAAAAATCACCTTGGGGTGCAGTCCAAAAAGCGCATTGGCAGATTCTGGTGTAGAGTAGAGTAATAGGGTGTTGCATGACAAGGCATTAGGAACAGAATGCTGTCCACCTTCCCATCTTTGGCCTCTTTGGACAGATAGTACATCACATCTTCACTTCCCCTCTGGCTGGCAAAGTTGCATGTAAGTATCATTAAACATAATACAATTACCCTGACCCAGCCCTAACCAAGACCCCTAGTCAATGTTAAATAAAGCAAGGAAGTAAGAAACTAAGGGGTTGTTTGGTTTGCTGCAAAAATGAAAGTTCAGCAAATGTAGTAGCAATTTGCAGGAAATCTACATCAAGGCTAATCTTTGGATATCAGCAGTTTTATTGTGGAAAATGTATCTTCAATTGAAAATTCATTGTCTGGGTTGAATTTACTGTAGTTCTTTTTTCAGATCATAACTTCACTTACGTTTCCTAATTACAATAGTGCCAATAAATCTGACCGCCCTATTTGCTTCTGCAACTCTATTTCCTCTCAGCCAAACAGCCTAAGGTACTCAAGGAACTATCAGAACTATAAACAGAAACTAGGCTTACCTGATGAACCAAGCTCATGTATAATGCCATTGGGAGATTAGTGACAAGAAGGAAGAAAACAGTCAACTGACGTCTTGAAGGGCATCTAGTTGGAGAGTGACCCTTTTTACTTTCTGTATCTGAAAAATCGGGCTTCGACATGGCAGCTAATGAATACCCAGAGAACATTAATGCTATGGGAAGCACAGGCAAGACAAACCTGAAACATTCAATCCTGTCATCATTTGAAGAAAATATAGAAAAACCAGCTCTTGCAATATTGTGATCCAACAGTATACCTGAATTCTTTGTGACCTTGAATGCTATAGAGTCCTAGAACCCAGAGAATTAGACCAGAAAGCCTCCATTCTTTTGACTTATATATACCCATTACAGAAATAGGTATAAAGGTTAAAAGCATGACTGAAAAACCCTGAGTGAAATACCAATGCCATTTATGGGTTCCATAATAATCCCCTCCAGAAGAAAGGAAGTTAAATTTAAGAAAATTAAGAGGCACAAAGACCCAAGAACTGTACATCCACCAATCCACCAAAAAGATGAGTGCAAGCACAAGAAACCTGCAATAAAAAATTAGAAGAAAATAACAAAAATGTCAGACACTAGATAGTGTGTGAGCTCATATAATAAGTACCTTATGAACTATTTAGTTTCTTCCTTGGTCTCTGATGATAACAATAGTTAATAAGTGCTACACAATTTGTGACTCACTTATTCAATTTTCTCATGAATTGAAAGTATTGTGAAGCATTAAAATATGAGTTTACATTAAAATATGAGTTTTCTTTTAATTTTTAGATTTACTAAGTTTAAAGAAACTGAACCAAGGACAAATTAGGAAATCGCTAATCTGCGCCTAATGATATCATCTTCATGCATTTAATTGTTAGCGCTAAAGAAACTTTCTTCGCAAGTTTGAAAATATGTTTTTGAGGGAACAAAACTTTCAAAACAAACGATTTAGTGTAAGAGGAAAGGGGAAAAACCCATATTTAAGTTGAAGTATGTCAAACCAGGAAACTGTCAAGTATTAATTAATAACCATAACAAAGTTTCAATTTCTTCAAGCAAAATTTGACTTAAATATGGCAAAGTACTATCTCAGTCAACTAAATTCACTTTCAATTGCAAAATTAAGTTCTTTAAAAGAGAATTTAGCATGTAGTTCAAAAAATAACAAAGTAAGAAAGTCTCTGTGTTCAGTAATTACCTACCCGATAGGGACTACCTCAAGAAATAGGAACCCCAATCTACCTTGCATCTCCAATAACTCCATAACCCCAATATACACCCAAGTGACAGCACTCGTTGGACGAACACCACAAGCCAATGCTGCCACAAACAAACCCAAAACCCTTGAAGAAAACCAAACTTTCTTAGAAGGAGAAGCTCTATAAGAAAACCAGTAGTACAATCCCACAATAGTCAGCACTGTCTCCAAGCTATTTGATAGAGTTCTTGTTGTGCAGTAAAACACAAACCAATTTGCCAGTTGACAAAACAGCTGTATACTACCATCAAGGATCACAAGTACACAACTTCAACCCAAAACAAAGGTGTTAATCGCCCTGAACCTAAAGGCCTGCTGATTGGGGTTAATGTGATGTAAGGGAAGGTTGGGGATGCATTAACTATTACACAGAGACAATTTTACCCTTCCATCAACATGAGATCCAACTGGGTGAAATAACATGTTGGAAAAAATGCCTCAAACTTTCATTAGTGTTTACTTTAGTACCTTCCGTGACATCACTGTTCAGAATACTACTTAAAACACATCAGAGGATTATAACGTAGTTATATAATTGGATGTTACAGAGTACAAAGAAACTCCCCTGAATTTCTTTCTTCCCGCTTAAGCTATTTAACACTGAACCCATTAAAATTACAAGCAGTAATCCATTTCTTCATTGTCCCAAACACAAGTGACTAATTTTTGGCATTAAACTGTAGGAAAAAAGCAACCCCTATAACAATATTTACTAGTCACAACCAAAATGGTGAATTTAATGGGCATTAGTGTCATTTCATCGCATCTTTGTTAAGTGAACGAGATAAACTAATCTTTGTGATATTTATTGGGAAAATTTAAACTCAGCATATTAAAG